GAATAATTATGCCAGTGGTTTTCTACTTTTTCTGCCTCTAGATTAACCACTCTTATTTACATCTTTCATTATTACTCTGAATCAAACTGTAGTATATGGTGGGGATTCCTTATCAGAATATAGAGGAACATACACATAGCTAGCAAGTTTTTGTTTTTGTTTTTTAAATTTTGAGACAAAGACACGCTAAATTGCTTAGGGCCTCACTAAGTCACTGAGGCTGGTCTCCAACTTGCGATCCTCCTGCCTCAGCCTCCCAAATTGCTGGAATTACAGATGTGAGGCACTGTGTCCAGCTCAGAAAAGACCATTTCTTATTTCCTTCTCTCCGCCTCTGCCCAGGCCATTTCGGAGATTGCAGATCACCACCTAGACCCAGAGTTTCTTGAAGGCAGAAATTCCTTCCAAATCCCCAAAGACCCTGGCACACAGGACACTCTTCATAAAAATATGTCAAATAAACATGGATGCTTATGAAGAAAAAAAGAAGATACTATGGACCTGGAGGTTAGATAAAACTACCTGTAAGAGGGAAAAGTGTTAACCACTTTCCAATTTTTGGCTTGGAGGGAGACAGCATAAATAAAAATAACACCTAACTTCCCACCCAACTTTTTTTTTCTTTGAGACAGGGTCTCACTATGTTGTCCAGGCTGGTCTCAAATAATTTTCTGACCTTCATTTCTTGAAGAGTTAAGACTACAAATACACATCACCACGCTGGGCTTAACATCTAACTCTTATTGAGAGTTTACTTATTCTGTGTCTGTCACTGTGTTAAGAAATTTATATGTTGGGCTGGGGTTGAGGCTCAGTGGTACAGTGATTGCCTAGCATGGGTGAGTCACTAGGTTTGATCCCTAGCACCACATAAAAAAAACCTAAATAAACAAAATGAAGGTGTTGTATCCATCTACAACTAAAAATATAAAAAAATACATTTATATGTATTAGTTAATTTAATGATCACAATAATCCTAGGAAGCAAGTGCTACTATTATCCCATTTTACAGATGAGAACACTGAGGTCAGTTAGTCTGCCCACTTTCACATACTTGAGAAATGGTAGGGCACAGTTTTAAACTCAAGCAATCTGATTCCAGACCCACACCCAAAGTGATCAGAGAACCACAATGTCAACCCTGCATAAGATCCTTATCATGGCTTTTCATTCTCCTTCCTTTTGGGCATTTCCCCCAAGTATTTCCAGATGGAACTAAGGCTTTCATCACTCCCTTTTTCCAATCTCAACCCCATTTTCAGAAATATGCATTTCTCCCACCCATCCTTTCAGAGGGCGACCCTCACCCTCTTCCCCTCTAAGTAATCGAATGCCCTGCAAGTTGGCATGGTGTCAGAGACCAAAAGACTGGTTCCATTAGAAATACTCTGGGATTCTCTCCACCTTTTAGGAATACCCCTGAGACAGATATCTCTTCCAGCCCTGTAGGCTTGGCATTCCTCATAGCCTTCTCCAGAGGGCCTCTCTTCTTTGTCAATCTGGGCTCTGTTTGCCTTTAACCCACTCCAAGCTTTCTTGTTGTCTCCTTGTCCATTTGTGCAGGAAAGGTCCAGCAGAGTGCTATAGTTTTTCATCATGTGTATTGATTAAAGCTAATGGGGGACCTAAGATCAGGGGCCCAAAGATGACCAAGCTGTTCAACTCTCAATAAAATACTTGGTAGAACCCAAACTTGAAGCAGCAGCCTCGATTTCCATGGTGACACCCTTGGGGATTGTTGCTATGGAAATGCTAGAGAGACACTGGCCACAGTGATCATTACTTCCCCTCTCCATTTTCCTTAATGAGACTCCCCCACACTTTTCAGATATCAAAGGAATCCAAGGCCACCCTAAACCAAGCAAATTCTGTTCCACTAATCCTGCAGGTCCAGTCTAGCTTTTCTAAACAAGGTACTTGATGGTCCTGGTTTCTTGCATCTTTAAGAACCCTCTTAACTTCTGGGAGACTGTAGGTGGGTAATCTGTGGACACTTGAATGCAGGAGACAGAGAGGGAGTGTAATTGTGTGTGTTCTCGATGTCATCTGCTCCAGACCTGGCATGGATACAGCAACCCAGGCAGTTAAGCACTGGGATACTGATGAGAAAAAAACAATGCAGAGAATGAACGAAATACTTAAATGGGTTCAGTGAAAAAGGCACACTGGATTCTAAGTGTACAAAAAGCAAAGCAAGACATATTCCACATTGCGACCCAGATATCCTACCACTATGACTTAGGCCATTAACTTTGGCTACCCACAGCCCCCAGATTCCTTGGAGAAGTCAGAGGTATGCAGGAAAATAGGGCGCACACAGCTCTCTCTCCAACTTATCCTTCTACCTTCTGCAAAGAGAACAAAGCCCAAGAACATAAGGGCCTCCAAAGCCCAAGCCAGCCGCAGTGCAGCAGAGGTGAAGGGAAAAGCTGTCACAGGAAAAAGCAGAGCTCTGCTTTTTTCTTTCTTTCAGTCTTCCCTCACCTTCCCAGACATCCTGAAACAGCTTCCTCCACTGTTCCTCAGACAGTTCTCCACACACTGGGCCCAAAAGGGATCAGGAGAGGAAAAAAGGTAGGAGATATCATTCCCTCGTTGGGACCCTCAAGGACCTCAAAACTATGTCTCCTGCCAGGCACAGTGGTGTATGTCTGTAATCCCAGCAATTTGAGAGGCTGAAACAGAAGGATCACAAGTTCAAGGCCAGCCTCAGCAACTAAATAGCTGAGGTGAGGACCTCAGCAATTTAGTGAGACTCTGTCTCAAAATTTAAAAAAAATAAAATTAAATGAAAAAGTCTGGGGATGTAGCTCAGTGGGTAAAGCATCCTGGGTTAAATCTCCAGTGCCAAAAAAACAATTATGACTCCTATAGCCCTGTCCCCTGAATGAAGAATTAATAGTAAGTCCTAAAAGGAAAGCTCCAGGGATATTGCCTGAGACAAAATGGCCCCCTGCAAACATTTATCTTAAGTGAGAGACTGACAGGAAGGCCAAGGCAAGAGAAGATACAGAGTGAGACAAAGGTACATACCCACAGATATCAGGCAGAATAGACAAGAAAACATTGGCTGTGGAGCTAAGATAGAATCTAAATCAGCAGGGGCCTTGGCTTCTCTCCATCTCTCCTCTATCCCATCTCCAACAGGGTCTCTCCTGTTTTGCTGGACTGACTGGACAGATCAATACCTCAATCCCTCCTCTCAACACGTCTAACTTATCCCACACATCAAGATAGCCCAAACAGCCTAAAGGAGTCACCTCAGACTTACTGGAAAATCCTTCCAAAACAAGGAAGTCACACTTAAAGTAGAAACCTTTTGTGGATTTGCTTGTCATGACAGCCAGCTCCTGTTTATCAGCCTTAATATCTCAAGCAGACCCCAAGCTCCAACTCCCATGGCCTGTTGTTCTGGCTACTTAGAGAGGGGGCCCCCAAGGGTTGATATGGGCTTTCTTTTAAACTGGCCAAACTTGACTGATCGGACTACAAGGCCTGAGGTCCTTGAGGCAAAAGAAACAGAGGTCCTCTTCTTATGTCAAACATATATTCTTACACACACACTCACATACATATCTATAAACATACATGACAAGGCAAAAGCACCACTGGAGTTCAGAGAGTGGGTGCGGGTGGTGACGGGCTGGGGGTGGGAGCTTGGGGCCTTCCCTAAAGCCTGTGTATGAAACTCCTATTACTGACTCAGAAGGCCCAGGCATCCTTCCCTTTTTTCCCTCATTCCTTTAACGGCATGTTTCCAGGTGCTTTGTGTCAAGCGCTATGAATCAAAGATACATAAGAAGCACCCCTGACCTTGAAGATTGTCCTCATACATGCCCCTCCTTCTTAAATTGGCAATACTTTCCTAGCCCAGCACCCCCAAGCCCTACAGGATTTGACCCCAGGCCTCTTCAGTACCCACACAGCCTGGGAAAGGTGGAGTGGGTAAAGCCTAGAAACTCCGTTTGGGCCACAGAAGAAGGTCCAGAATGGAAATGCGGGAAGGCAATATGATATGAAGGAAAAGGTGTGATTCACAAACTTGGATTCAGATCTATGGATTCTCAGCATGACCTTGAGAACGTCATTCAACTTCTTTTGGCCTCAATCTCCTCATCTGTAAAATGGAAATATCAATACTACTTTAGAGTGTTTTTTGAAGATTTAATACTCTACATTGAGTAATAAGTAAAAAATAAATACTATTCTCCTTCTTAAGATCTCCTCCATGGGTAAGGGCTGTCATGATGAGGTAGAGGTCAACTGCTACTTTTTATTGGATCAAAAGCAAGGATGAATAAGCAAGTATGCATTACAATCTCAGGGTTTGGATATGTTTATTTGGGGAGTACAGTTGGGAAGTCTGAAATCCTCTTCCTACTGTACCTGGGATGGAAAGGCAGATAGGTCCTTAGAATTCCAGAGGCTTCCCCGAAACTGGGTGTGGCATCAATATATTTCTTTCCCATAAAACCCTTCATCAGACCTCAATCCTCTAAGTACAGACGTAACTACTTTAGGGGAAAATGGAGGGCTTGGACCTAGAGCCCACTCCCATTAATACCTTCACAGAAAACCTGGACTACCCATCTCCCTTTTAGCCCATCCACTATCTTCTCCCTCCCTTCCTAGGATGTGGGGGTAAAGACCTAAGCCAATAACAAAGGAAAAATGCGCTTTCTCTGGGGGAGAGAGAAAACATCAGAAAAACACGGGACTGGCTCCAAGGGGTGGGGATGTGGCTGCTCCCAGCCACGGAGAGTAGGGTCTACTGATGGGGAAGGGGCCCCCTCCCACTCTGCAGAGACTTGGCTGCAGGCCTGGCCAGGCCACACCCAGCCATCCTGATGCAGGGGAGAAAAAGGAGGGGCTGCGGCGAATAGGATGGTGATTGAGCGGCGGGGATGGAGCACAGAGTGACAAGCAAAGGCTAAGATTCTAGGGGGGGAAGATTCAGCCTCCCGCCCCTCCCCTAATTCCGTACGGTAGCAGCACTCACTCCGATAACGACGCTGTCGTCCCCTTGGAAAATGGGGATGAACTTGTCTCCCCGCAGAATCTCCGCCTGGTTCAGGGGCCGAAATCGGCAGAGAACCTTGATGCTGCATTCGTTGTTAGTCTCCGCCATGGTGGTCGACAAGTAGAGCTGGGGCACTTCTCAGGCTGCAGGAATGGTGTGTGCTCCGAAGGAGGGGTCGCTCAGCTGAGACCAAGACGGAGGACAGGTGCTCGATCGCTGGGGCCGAGAGAGCAGCTGGGGCGCCCGGACGAGGCGGCGGAGCAGGGCCGGGGAGCGGTTTAGTCTACTGCAGCTCTGAGATGCACGCAACCTGGGCGTCGGGTCCTCTCTCGGTGCACTGCCTCTCCGCCCCTCGCGCTGCAGCCGCGCTGCGGGCCTGGGCGGGGCGCGACCGAGCAGTGAAGGCGGGGCTTCCTTCGTAGGGGGCAATCTGCTTGTCTTGGACCACCGAAAGGTGGGGCCTGGCCTCACTCTGGCCTTCTTCTCCCGCCCCAAATGCCAGAAGATAACCTTGCCCTCACCCTTTCCCGACCGGACTAGCTCACAGCATCCCACCCCCACACCCCCGACCTGTTTGTTCTTCCCTCAGACTCCACCTCCCGGGAGGGATGAGGCGGGGGGGGGCTGAGGTGGGCCTGTTGCCTGTCTAGGGAAGAAGGTCCACAAGACTTCCAGTCCTTTTATTTCAGTGCATCCCCCAGCCTCATTGCAGTACTCTCTCCAATCTGGGAACACATTTCTTCTCGTTCCCCTCCCACAGACGCACAAAAGCTGAACTCCAAACCCATTCAGCTTTCAAAGACAACTGTCTGAACCCCTGTGGAAATGGGTATCCAGATCCCATTGTCATATGCAAGCGTCAAAGGAGGATCTGTTTCTTCCTTCCCCTTCTACATCCAAAAGTGCACTCTTTTCTCTTCCCAACATACACACCAGGTCCCCAGGTTGAGGCAAGACAAACTCCCATTCTGGACTATCAGAATTTAAAAGCAGACCAAATTTTCATTTTTGCCTCATAGGTTGGGACTAGGATGGAGGTGGGCAAGAATAGGGGGATGGTGTTGAGAGTGGGTAAGGCTAGAGGGACTTTGACAGAATCTTTAGGGCAAACATCTGCATTTGTGTTTCAAGTAGGCTTAGGCACCTAATGTGAATGTTTGTTTCTAGTCGAAGTTACCATTGGGTAGGGGGTAGGGATCCTACCCAATGGGTCCTTATCCAACACCCCATCCCTTTTCTTCACTGCTTCTCCCCTTTCTCTGGAAACAACAAAACAAAACACCCAGAGGTTCCTTGTCCTTCCTGCACTTGGGTCAGACTCCTGCTGCAGCTCCTGAGCGGAACCATCCAGGAGCTGGCCAAATTGCTTTTTATCCAGAAGCTGCCCAAATTGATTTTTATCCACATCACAGGCCTCTTTTAGCCAACACAGAAGTGGATTGCAGAAGTTGAGACTCTTGGCGAAGGAGAGGAGCAGCATGATGGGAGAAGGGAGGAAGAAATGTAGGTTCTGTTTAGAAATTGGTCAATATCTACAGTCACTTAAGACATTATGGAACAAGGGTAAGAGGCTAATGGCCTGGTCAGATAGGACCTAACTCTACTAAGGCCTGGGCACAGTGGAACACACCTGTAATCCCAGCAGCTTGGGAGGCTGAGGCAGGATGATTACAAGTTCAAAGCCAGCCTCAGCAAAAGTGAGGTGATAAGTAACTCAGATTCTGTCTCCAAATAAAATCAAAATAGAGCTGGGGATGTGGCCCAGTGGTTGAGTGCCCCTGAGTTCAATCCTGAGTACCCCTCCCCCCAAAAAAACCCACTCAAATGAGGAGGTTACCCATATTAGACCTACATTCTAACCCACTTTAAATCTTAAGGAAAATGAAGGAAGGGGGGCCAGCAGAAGCAACTGAATAAGAAAGCAGTAGTCTGAAGGCAGAGGCTTGGGGAAGAGCCAGGAGAGAACACAATGAGTTCCAAACTCAGGAACTCTCCAGTCATTTGGTTTGGCAATATTTCTGAGTTGCAGCATCCTGCAAACTCAGGAAACATCCCAACTTCAGGCCATCAGGGGCTATAAGGTGGCATCCTTAGCAAAGGAGCTGCAAAATGCCAGTCCATAAGGTGTCACTAGTCAAAGAAAAGTTCAATGGGTGTGTCTGAACCCCAAAGAACAATGTAGTGAGTTTCACATAAAGCTGGATTTGTTGAGTCTCAAAGGACTTTTACTCTAAGAATTTGTCCTTTTACTTTTCTACCAAGTAATAGTAGCAATGGTATCTTGTAGGTTTTCTATTTGTAATATATTTACCTGGTAAATTAAAAATATAGCTTCACTATGTGTAACCTTAAGAAAGGTATGTTGTTTTAATTTTATTGAACTGTGAAATTCAGAAGTCTGGGAACTATTAATGAAATGATCAAGAGGATAGAGAGCATTTAGACAGACTCCGAACCATCATTTATCCATTTGTGAACTTTAGATAGGATTTCCAAACTTGAAAAACAAAAACAAAAGCAATTTATCTAGTTAAATTTGAATTTTAGGTAAGCAATTTTATGTGTCTCAAATATTGGACAAAACAGAGCAAAACCAAACAAAACACCAATACTAGTTTTTATCTGAAATTCAAATTTAACTAGATGTCCTGTATTTTATATAACAGTCCTAACTTAAGAAGACTGCTTAACTTTTCCATTCCAAACATGCTAAGCCTTAACTAAATTTTACTTATTACTATTGTTTTTTGAAGCTCTCACGACATGACTACTTGATTTTATCTCGTCACTAATTCCTAGGAGTCCAATACGGGAATTAAAACAGTTCTTTCCCAGACTTGATGTAAAAATTAAATGAAATAAGTTGAACGAAATAGCTCCCTTAGGTGCATTCCCCACCCAAGCTCCAGAGAGCCAGGACTACATATCCCACAATTCTAGGCGACGATCTTCGCCATTACCTCATTGCTTGGCCTCGCTCTCGCCAATCCCACCGTCTCTAGGGGTGTGGTAGCGGGGTGTTCTCGCGACTTTTGCTTTACCCTTCTGGTGTGCTACTCCTGTCGCGAGACTTCCCGCTCCTCTGCCGCTCCCTTTGCCGCCGCCTTAGCTGGGGACCCGGACCCAATCTCTCCCCTACCCGATCACCCGCCCCGGCTCCACCGAGGCTCCGGTCCCCCAGCCCCGCCTCGCCGCCGCCATGGCGGACCCTAAATACGCCGACCTTCCCGGCATTGTGAGTACAGGGCCGGCCCTGGCTCCCCAGGACCGCGCCCCCGACCTCCCAAGGACCCCCAACAGAAACCAACCCATGACCCCTCCCGCCTGCAGTCCCTCCTCCGCCCCAAGGGCTCCTGCCGCTCTCCCCGACCGGCTGCAGCACCTTCCGGACTCCTCTGACCTGACTGGGCCTGGCCGTCGGACGGCGCATCAGGCCCCCTTTCTCGGCCCAGAAATCGTCAGGGTGTTTACCACTTGTGCCCAAGTGTTTCTGCCATCCGTGTCGACACCACCCGTGCCTCCCCCAAATCTCCCAATAAGCCCCCCATCCCTACCCTGGACATACTCACCAGACAACTTGGTGACGGTCTTCATCCTGCCAAAGGAAGAGGTTTACTGTGGCAGAACCCTTCTTGTGCCCGATGGAAATTCTGTCTTTTGGGGGACCTATGTCTGCCCCTCACTCCTCATGAACAAGTTGGAGTGTACCCTCCTTTTGTGCTCCCTTGCCTATATTCTCGGGGTGGGGGTTGGGGCACAGAACCTTAGGAATTAAGGTCCTGAGTCACTCTTAACCCATATCACAGGGACCTAATTCGAGGAAGGTCCTCACCTATCTTGGACAGAATGATTACCAAGGACCCTTCCTGTCCAAGTTCAGGATAACACCTTTGTTATCACATTCACTGTTTTCCTTAGGTCCCATTTGTACTCGCTGTCACCCCCACTTCACTGAGACAAGGGAACTGACATGCCATTAGTAAGGCAGATGGAGAAGAAAGAACAGAATCCTGGTATCGCAGAACTCTGCCTTCTCCATTAGTTTGTTCAAATGGAGTCGGGTAAGAGGTTGGTGGATGCTAGGTAGTGAGGTTGGGTGGTCACTGCTTCTACCTGCAGGCCAGGAACGAACCAGATGTTTATGAAACCAGCGACCTACCTGAGGATGATCAAGCAGAGTTTGATGCGGTAAGACTATGTGCTGCCTCAGGATTCCTTGGATTCTGACCTCTCTTCCCCCATAGATCCTTTCCCTACTTTGGCAAGCGACCACAATAAGTGGGTATGCCAACTCCAGCCTGAGTGGTATGTAGGTTGCAGAGCTTGCAGCCACCAACAAGCAATGCCAAAGGAGAGTCAAGTCAGTGAAATTACAGCTAACAAGATCTATTTGCAAAGCCCTAATTCTTGGTCCTTTTAAATAAAATTGAAATATCTCAAAACTATTACATTTGGGACTAGTAACTTAATGAGGCTTTTGGGTTCTAACCCATTTCAATGGGTCCTAAAGCCCGAACATATATAATCTGTTTGATGGTAGAAAGTAGGCCTTTTATTTTATTATTTCACTCAATATGTGTTCATTAGTTACCTACCAAGAACTAGTCTTTAAACTAGAGACATACTCTTCCATGTGAATATCAGTGTTCATTGGTCAAGGAATAAGAAGATGATTTGAAGATTCCAAAAAGATAAGGGTAGAGCCAAATAAATTTGAGGGAAAACATAAGTCTTTCATATCAGCAGAGAAGAGGTCATGGCAACACTTTGGCATCCAAGAACTCTGAGGAGGAGGGAATTAGCTGTAGATACATTTTAACCATGAGAAAAGCACTTAGCATTGTTTATTGAATATGTTCAATTTGTGTTGATTTGTTTGGGTTTTGGTACTGGGGATTGAACCCAGGGGCACTTAATCACTGAACCACATCCCCAGCATTTTTTATTTTGAGACAGGGTCTCACTGAGTTACTTAGGACCCCAGTATGTTGCTGAAGCTGACCTCAAACTTTTGATCTTCCTGCCTCAACTTCCTAAGTCTCTAGGATTACAGGTGTGCACTACCACGCCTGGCACCTGTGTTGATTTTTGTGCAATGCAGAGGAGGAAATGTCCCTTCCCTCAAGGAGCCCCAGACTAATGAGGGGATTAGGATACATATGAGAAATAATGGAAGAATTAAGATGGATACATATAGAAAACATAAGGAAGAAAAAAATGAATGGAAATCAATATAGTAAAACTCTGTAAGTGCCAACAAAGACAAAGATCTGTGAGCATTTCTTATAGTATATATGTTTTAGGTTTTATTTCCACAGAGACCTGGGCTGGGGTCACATTGATGCTGTGAAATATCATTGAAGGCCTGACCATAAGTCATCGAACAGTCTCAGTATATGGCCCAGTTGGTGTGTCTTTAAGTCCTGTGGCCATGTCTGTGGGGCTGATTAGTTCTGGGAATTGCTGGTTGCTGATTTATAATGTATGGCTTGGCGTACTCACTTATTCCTTTTTTGGTTCCCCATGTGAAAGTGCTTCCTACATTGTAGGGAACACCTTCCCTGTTCCTTCTCACAGTAGTATGTTCCTTGTGGCTTCTGTTCTTGCTGGCATGTTAGTCTGTCCCCCAAGCGTAAATATCTGGAGATAATGCATATGATGTTGCCCAAGGACCTGACTGCACCTGTCACTCCAAGAGGGTAGCAGTGTTGGAGGAACCTGTCTCCATCCCCACAAGGTAGCAGTGTGTATGCTGAGGAATTCCCTGTACTACCACAGTTTAAAGATTGCTCTCTTTATATTTTGGGCTCTGCCTATAAAATATCAAGCCTTCATGGTGAAATAATGAACAGAATTCTGTCCTTTTGTCACTTAACTGTGATACAAATGGATAATTGTCACATCAGTCTCCTTTTCAAAGAAAAAATTACATTTTCATTTTCCTTTTGAAGATACTTGAATAACTCTTAATGAAAGGAAGATGATGCCCATTGTAGGTGTGGAAAACCTGAATGTGTAGCTCTGAATATGTGGTTCTTTTCTCCCCTCTAAGTCAGAGCAGCCTATTTTAGTAGCAACTAGTACAGTGACTTTTGGGGAGGGCACACCACAAGAGTTTATCTCCTGTGGCATGTTGCCCAGGATGCCAGTGTAGAGGTGCCTAGGAGCTGGATGGTTAAATACAGAAGGAGTTGAGTTGCCTTCATCACCTGAAGCTCAACTAAGTGACTCTCTGTCATTAGAGATTAGTAGGTGGAATGGGGAGACCTTCAGCTGCTTTTGGAGCCTGATGTTTCCTGATGACAGCTAATATCTGGCCCCTGCATATCCCAGTGGTCTTAGAACAACTTTCAGGAAATCAACTGAATAAATGGCTCTTAATACTGAAGTAAATGTGCAACTCAAAAGAGCAGTGAATTGTATTCTTAGCCAGCCAGAAACATTGTATCCACCAGGCCTGCATTCTGACTAGCAACCTATCCCCTTATCACCTACCTGCCTGAGACCTAGCACAAGTAGCAGTGCATATGATATATGAGTTTTTCAATTACCTTTTAATGCCTGGCAACAGCATTCTCTGCTTTGGTCTCCAGATTATTTTTAACTTTGATTATTTATTTATTTACATATGTTCATTTATTTATTTAGTTCCAGGGATTGAATCCAGAGGCACTTTACCACTGAGCAGCAACCCCCTTCTGTTTTTGTTTTTTTTATTTTGAGACGGGGTCTGGCTAACTTTCTAAGGCTGGCTTTGAACTTGCAGTCCTCCTGCCTCAGCCTCCTGAGATGCTGGGATTACAGGCATACACCACCATTCAACTTCAATTTTATTAGCATTTTTTTTCTTCTGTCTTTTTGATGCTGGGAATCAAATCCAGGGTTGCTCTACCACTGAGCTACATCCCCAGTCCTTTTGATGTTTTGAGAGCTTCTTGCTAAATTGCTGAGAATCTCACTAAGTTGCCAAGGTTGATCTCAAACTTGTGATTCTCCTGCCTCAACCTCCCAAATTGCTGGGATTACAACTATGTACCACTATACCTAGCTAATTTTATTATTTTTAAAAATAGATAATAAATGCACAGAAAACAAAACAAAAAAAATTCAAAGTAGGGTAGTGAAAAGTCTGTCCCCTATCCCTGGCTAACACCACTCAGTTCCCTTCCCTGGAGACACCAATATGGCCACCTTCTTGTGGAACATTTTGAAGAGTCTCCAGATTTTTTTTAAATTTACTTTATTTTTTAAAAGATATTTTTTAGTTGTAAATGGATCATTTATTTTATTTATTTACATGTGGTGCTGAGGATTGAACCCAAGGCCTCACACATGCCAGGCAAATGCTCTACCACTGAGCCACAACTCCAGCCCTCAGATTTTTATTGTAAAGGATTATCAAGTAGTGTTGATGCTCACTGCCCTTTAACCTCCTTTCTCTGATTTCTTCACTGCAGAAGAAATTGGACTACTGAAGGAAACAATGTCTTTTAATGTCCCTTAAAGATCTTAATTGCTAGATAAACATAAAAGTTTTATGATTCCCATAGTGGGGGAAATGGGGGGGGGGAGTAGCAGAAGATTTTAGTTTTTCTACAGTAGATCCTGATTTTTCTCCTAAAATTCCTTTAAAACAATTTTAGCCAGAAGTAGAATATTCTAAAATAAGAGTAGGTAAGAAAACTGTACAGACTCACCGTTTCCTTCATGATCTGGGAAGGTCTCTGCATTTCAGATACTCCTGGGTTGAAGAGCAGCAGGCTTATTTGGAAACTTTTCTTAAAATGTTTTATTAGGAAAACTGGTTCCCAAATGAAATGCCTTCCCTCGGACCCACAGCCTGCCTTGGGTCAGTGAGGCATTCTGCTCATGGCTTTTGAACTGCTGGAACAAGAGGAATAAGTTTAAGAAAGTCTCACTAAAATTATGATTTTATTTCTCCCTTTATTGTGTAATTACCCCCAATGCTATGTAAAAAGAATGGAGAGTTAATTAGCCGTAGTTTGGTAGGGTACCAGCAGAGGCTGCTGGATACTCCCCAATCTGAGATGAAAAACAGTAGGTTTTCTTCCTTACAATTTAAAATATCTAGAGAATGCTTGATTGTGTTCGCTGACTATTGGTGCACTTGAACTTAACCTGAGTTTTTCCTAATGCTTCCCCCATCCTCCCTCCTCACCACCCTGCCTGGACACTAGTTTGCACAAGTAAGACCATTCAGTGCTTCTTCTCTGCATGTTTTTTTTTCATCTGCCACCTCGCATGCAATGCTCTGCCACTGTGCAATTGTTGTAGCTAATCATTTTTAATTTCAATGAGTCCCTAGCTGGGTCACTGAGGAGCCTGCTGGCCTTATTATTAAAGTCATTAATCAAGGTTTAGAAAAGCAACTATGATCCACAAATCATTGTCTCTCCCCCTTATGAGGTCTGAAGAATAAAACTGTCCAGTGGAGGATGGGATAGAAACATGGAGGCTATGATGCTTTTAAGCGAGGCATTTAGGGATCAGAGTTAGCAAGGGTAGCCTTTTTCTTCTTGAGACTATATGGAATTAGATTTTTATGGAATAACTTTGAGACATTCTAGACAAGGGCAGAGAACAAGGGACAGCCAAAGTCTTGCCTTCTTAGGTATATGGGATTATTCCTGGGGAAAGAATTCTCATGTTAATATTCTCCCATGCTAAGCCTTTAGAGTAACGTACATAGGATGGGAAGGAAGTATTATATTGCAGTTCTAAGATAATTTGTGTTGTATTTTTGCAAGTCTTTCTGTTTCTGCACCCCTCCTTTAGAAATGGATGAATGGTCAGCATTGCATTTGTCCATCCTGGACAGTTTTATTCAGTGGCTCTCTCCACCTTCCCTGTCATCATGGTTCTGAAGTCTCCCTGCCTGCAATGTTGGTGTAGAGCCTGAAGAGGTTCAGGGGTAGCAGTGGTCACTTCCCTGCCTGATTTAGAACCTCAGATCTTGTCCTCTGTGACCCAGACACTTAGTCAAAGAGCCCTGAGGAGTCTGGGAGTCCATTAGTGAGAGGGACTGAGAGTCTTGTACCAGGTAAACTGGTATTTAGAGTCAGGACACTTGGAATTTTTCTATCGAGGTGATTGTGGTATACTAGGTTTCCATGGTAACTATTACTACACCAAGTAATAGAAATTCTTCACAAAATCTCATTATCCTTCAACCTACCATAAGATTGACTTGGAAGTGGTGTATATATTTAAAAACAATGTACCACTTTTCCTTTTCCTTTAAGTTTTCTGTCCTCCCCATTCTGCCCATTCCTTACTGTTTGAACTTGAGTTTATGGCCCATTGTCCCCCTAACCCCTTGAGTTTCTCCCCTGCTGGTTTTAGCTTGGTGAGACAAATCAGAGAAATAGTGCATAGCGTGTGTTCCTCCCTTGTGTGTCTGCATGTGTGCACTTGTGAGTGCTTAAGCCCACTGTGGAGACAACCAAGCCTAGACCACAGGACCTGGAGCCACTTCTTCCCTGGGCTAAAAGAGGAGCCTTGCCTGGGCTGGATCCTGGCATTGGCCAGGTACTGGAAAGGTTGAGGGTCAATGTATCTGGCTTAGATTCTTTCTCCCACCATGGGTTTTTTATGTATATGTAACCATACTCAGCCTTCCCTCCTTCCATCTGCCTATCAGCAGAGCTCCACAAAAGCAGAACATGCAATTGGATTTCCCCTCCCAGCAGTTTTAAGCCAGTGTTTTCTAGAATGGAGACCTTATCTCTGTGGCCTGGACTAAAATAAGGCCTTTTTAAAATACTCTCACCCTTCCCCCTTGTCCATCCTCTATCCCCTGTGAGACTTGTGAACAAGGGGTTGGAAAAACATGTTATACTCATAGGCTGGTAGCTGTGAAGCTTGGTGTCCTCTGGGCTGTTTGTGCTAGTATATCATGGCAGAATTGCTCAGCATCACTCAGAGCTGCAGGATGAGTTACCAACCATTCAGGATGAATACATACTAGGCTGTGAAAGGGACCAGGTTTTGCCCTGCCTCTCTCTGGCAGCAGAAAATAAGAACCAGACTGCAGTTGGGTACTTCATGTTTCCTTATAATCACCATCAGTACCTGACATATCTTGTTCTGCCTGGCCTAAAGTTCTATTAGACCACCCATAGGAATACCTTTTGACTTAATTCTGCCATCCAAATGTCCAGTTTTTCACAAGTAAAGAAACCAAGAGACAGGAAGACTTAGACCATGAACTAAGAAGGGAAACTTCCCCCTTGAGAATTACGGACCTTCAATCAGCTACAGGTCCTCAGAGTCTCCATATCCTCTGCTCCATATTCTGCCATTTCTACAACTTCCCCTTTACCTCAGCCTTCTTGCACTTTTCTTTTCCATGCTACTAGCTTCTAACATCTAACTCCCAGTTCTCAGATGATACTAGATTGCTGCTGTTAATAGCAAAGCTTCATGACATCCTCACCACTAGAGAAGAAAGGGTGTCATGGTCTTCTTTTCCTTGGGGTATATGATGACCCCAGCTAAAATTTTTTGGCCCCCAAATTTTGCTAGGCTCCCCTGGGGCCCTGTGGTATGGTATATTTAAAGACTGTCATATAGTGCATGTGACAATTTGCTAATAATAATTTTGTCTTTTTTTCCCCTCTCTCCTCCCCATTCCCCAACTCCCTCTCCTTTTAACTCTTTTGATTTTCTCACCTCTGGGGAATCCACAAGGAGCTGGTAAGAAGCCTGACCTTTCATCTGCTTTTTAACGGGGTGTGCTGTATGGGCAGTTATTTTTCTGTCCTTTTGTTTCTACTAAATCTTTCATCCCTCTATTCAGTCCTATACTCAGCTGACAGACTTTTCCTGTCTCACAGGTCACTGTAATGACACTACCCCTAACCCATGCCCCAGATCTTTTAGACATTGGTGGAGCAGATGCCACTGGAGAACTATTGTGTGCTGCCCACCTGAGTCCCCTAGGCCATAGCCTCTAAGAGGCTCACAGAGGATGCCAATGTCCTGTCCAGGTCATATTTATATAGCAGGGAAAAGTACTATTTGTTTCTCTGACTGTCCAGAATCTCTGAGCTTCACCTTTCTAGTGAAGCTTCACCTTTCAAGTGTTGGAACATTTTTTACCCCCCTTTCCCCCACTTTCCTTACTTAGGAACATAAATAAGAATGTAGGTTCTCATCTACATAGCACCTGTCTATAATAATGACTTAACAGATGGTGGTTATGATTTCTTTCCTTGGTCTGTAGGTTATACCTCTCATTCCTTATTTATTTATTTGTTTATTTTGTGTGGTGCTGGGAATAGACCCCAGGCCATTGAACATGCTAGGCAGGAGCTCTACCAAGGAGATACAACCTCAGCCCCTATTTTTCATTCCTTTCCTTCTCCCCCCCCCCTCTTTCTTTCATACCAGGGATTGAACATAGGGCACTTAACTACTGAACCACATCCCCAGCCCTTTTTATTTTTTGTTTTGAGACAGAGTCCCGCTAAGTTGTTTAGGGCCTAAGTTGCTGAGACTGGCTTTGAACTTGCAATCTTCCTGCCTCAGCCTCCTGAGCTGCTGGGATTACAAGCACATGAACCACCACGCCCAGCCCATTCCTCTTTTTAAAAGGACTTAAAAATTTAAAGTGGCCTTGATTGGGGCTTTCATGGGGAGAAGCCTCATATTCTTTGTGTGTGTGTGTGTGTGTGTGTGTGTGTGTGTGTGTGTGTGTGTGTGTAATTGGGAATTGAACCCAGGGCCTTGTACATAATAAGCAGGCACTTTATCATTGAGCCACATCCTCAACCCTTTAAAATAATTTTTTTTAATTTATTTTTTAGTAGTAGTTAGACACAATACCTTTATTTCATTTATTTATTTTTATATGGTGCTGAGGATCGAACCCAGATGCAAGGCAAGCGCTCTACTGCTGAGCCACAACCCCAGCCCCAAAAAATAAATTTTAATTTTTTAATTTTTTATTTGTTTGTTTGTTTGAGATAGGATCTCATTATGCTGCCAAGGCTGGCCTCAAACTTGAGTTCCTCCTATTTCAGTCTCCTGAGTAGCTGGGATTACAGGCCTGTGCTACCAGGCCCAGGAAGAAGTTGCATATTCTTTTTATTTTCATTTTGAGGTAGGGTCATGCTAAATTGCTCAGGTTAACCTTAAATTTGTGAACATCCTGCCTCAGCCTCCCAAATTGTTGGGATTACAGGTATGCACCACCATGCCTGGCTAGAGAGGGAATCTTCTTTTTTTAAAAAAAAAAAAATATTGTTTTTAGTTGTTGATAGACCTTTATTTATTTATATGCAGTTCTGAGAGTTGAACCCAGTGCCTCATACATGCCAGCAGTCAAGTGCTTTACCCCTGAGCCACAGCCTCAGCCCCTAGAGGCGGCATATTCTTGTCAATTTAAGATAAGTGGTTGTCTACTCTAAACCCGATTTCTTCTCAGCTTATAGAAACCAGAGACCACACAGCTATTTGGCAAATGGGTGCTTTAGCTATAATTTCAGAGAATGTTATTTTTTGCTGGGGAGGGTGGTTCTTTTCAGTTTTTGGACCCAGAACCTCAAACATGCTGGGCAAGCTTTCCACTACTGAGTTACATCCTCAGTCCTCAATTTGTGATCCTATCTCAGCCTCCCTGAAAACTAGAATTACAGGCCTATGCAATCATACCCAGCCCCTTTCAGAGAAGGTTCAAGAGAGAATCATTTGCACTTTCATGTGCGGCATTCAGCCCTTTTGTTTTCCCTACCTCTATAACTCCTCTATAACTCCTGCCCTTCCATCTAGCAGCCTCTGAAGAAAAAAGAGAGATCAAAGTTGATAATTCTTATTTATTATCTTTTTTTTTGTTGTTGTTCCAGGGATTGAACCAAGGGGTACTTAACTATTGAGCCACATCCCTAGCTCTTTTTTATTTATTTATTTTTTTATTTTGAGACAGAGTTTCAATAAGTTGCTTAGGGCTTCACTAAGTTGCTGAGGTTGGCATTGAACTTGCATCCTTCTGTCTCGGCCACCCAATCAGCTGGGATTATAGGCATGTACCACCATGCCTGATTCCCCCTTTATTTTTAAAGCTGATATCCATGCTGATTCCTTCTCTAATAGCAGAGCAAAGGTGAAGGACAGACCCTTCCTCTATCTGCTGCTAGCTCTGTGATATACCTCCATTCCCCCTTTCCCCTTCCCACAGAGCCACACAGGCAGAGGTTCTGTCCTGACTGCAGTTTAAAATTGTCTGGATAAAGTTGGCCTTACTCCATAACAAGTAAATCAGAATTTAAAAAGTGGGCCCAGACCACTTAAAAAAATAATTTTTTTTAAGTGATTCTAATGTGCAACCAGTGTCAAGAACCATTTTCCTAGGTGAAGGAAAGAAGAGTCAGTTTGCCTTCCTCCTGTGGAAAGTGGTGATACCTCCCCCAACAGAAAGGGACTCATGAGTCTCCTTTCCCCTTCCTTCAGTGCTCTAGTGAAAGCCGTCAGTCTTCTGACTGAAGGAGGGATGTGAATCAGGAGTGCCTAGTCTTGGTTTAGTTATTGGAACTGAACAGAAAATTGATCTATTAAGGGGGAACCTTCTGCTTCAGTTTCTAGGGTATAGTCTCTTTTACTCTCTCAGCCGTGTCCTCTGCTATGGCAGAGCTTCAGCTCTTTGGTTGTAGAAAAGGGATTGGGGAGAAAGCAGGTGCTGTAGCTTCCCTGTGAAGAAACAGTGCAGCATCTTCATTGCAGGGCTTACATATGGCCCTTGCCCATGATGCTCATGACAAGCAGCTATTGCTTGTTGTTTTTACTAAGATGTCCCATAGAAAATTATCCAGTAAGCCTTTGCCTCTTTTTTCCATCCTCTGAATTGGCTGACCTCACAGCAGTCTGGAAACCAACCTTCTTAAGCCTTCTGCTGGCCTTCCTTTTCTATCTAAGAGCTGGTGTCGTACCTTTAGCAGGTTGAAAGTCCTAATATTTGCACTTAGTTATTGGCCTGTCTGCCTGCCTTCCTTCTGCTTTCCTCCAGCAAGAATGGGAGATTATTCAGTTGGCAAGCAGATTTACTTTTGGGAGGGGGAGGTTAAGAGAGGTCAGGTTGGTTTCTTACCTTTAGTGCATGGTATGTGTCAGATAACTGGGAGGGGTGGGGGCAGGGAGGCTTATGTACAATGTGGGTGGGGAGGTTATGCTGCCTCTGTTCCCAGCTGAATCAGGGTGTTAATATTTATACAACGGAGGTTCCAAATTTACCAGGAAGCTTCTGTTTCCTAGGTTGAGCCTGGGTTGGCAGTTTAGAACAAAATCGCCCTTCTTCCTACTTTCCCTTTGGAACATTAGAGCCTAGACTTCTAGTATGTATGGATTTTTGTGGGATAGAGGAAGTTCTAGACTGGGAATGAGTCAACCCCTGGCCTGAACTACCTATTTCTTCAGGAGGAACTGACGAGCACAAGTGTGGAGCATATCATTGTCAATCCCAACGCTGCCTATGACAAGTTCAAGGACAAGAGAGTGGGGACAAAGGGACTTGGTAAGACTGGGCTGAAAGTTGGGTGAGGGGGATGCCTAGAGGACAAGCATGAGAAGTGGTCTCCTGTCCTCATATCTTAGTGACTTTTGCTCTGGGGAAAGGGTTCCTCAGGGAGATCTCTGTTGGAATCCTTCACAGTCACCTGAGATCATGACTGCCCTGGACCTAGGTTAGGCCCTCAGTCCTATCTTCTTTTCTTGGCAGATTTCTCAGATCGCATTGGAAAAACCAAGAGGACAGGATATGAATCCGGAGATTATGAGATGGTTTGTTGTGTGTGTGTTGATGGGAATGGTGTGGTGATCCTGTCTAGTAGGCATTTTAATAGGGGATTGAGGAGTATAGTTCAGATTCTGAGTTTCTCTGGTTGTATTCCTCAGAAACATAGCAGGATGCAGTTGACCATGTTCTTCCCCCCTGCTGTTTGTTCTGGAGCATCTCCAGACCTCTGGGCTATCTCCACATCTTCTTTACTAGGGTGTTGAGGATTCAGTGTGGGATATGATACCTTATGACTTAGGTCCAGGGCTTGGATAAATTCTGGAGGCTTTCTGAATGGAAGGTGTAACATCAATGTCCATCCTTGCTTTTAGCTTGGAGAGGGTCTGGGAGTGAAGGAGACACCTCAGCAAAAGTACCAGCGACTACTGCATGAGGTCCAAGAGCTGACAACTGAAGTTGAGAAAATCAAGGTAACTGTATACTCTCTCCTCTTCAGCTCTGCAGTGATTTACGTAACAGAAGAGAACCTCCCAGCAGGAAGAGAAATATTCCCTAAGCTCCTGGATAAGGGCACTAGGGTTTTCAGAGTTTGGGAATACACACCTACATTCATTGTTGTTATGTAGGAAGTTTACTATGCTAAAAACCATCCTAGTGGCTTTTAGCCACAACTGTCCTTAAGGCTTCTTTTCCCTTGGGGTACTGGTAGTACCCAGGGATATTCTGGACTATATTCGCAGCCCTTTTTGTTTTTAAGATAGGGTCTCGATAAATTGTCCAGGCTGGCCTTGAACTTATGATCCTCCTACTTTAGCCTCATGATTGGGATTATAGGTGTGCACCACCCTGCCTGGCATCCTTATCTTAAGGCTATTGATCTTTCTTTCTACTTTTTTTTTTCCCCTTGATTCATTCCTGCCACCCCTCATTGTGTACCTTTTTTTTTCATACCAGACAACAGTAAAGGAGTCAGCCACTGAGGAGAAGCTAACCCCTGTGGTACTGGCTAAACAGCTGGCATCTCTGAAGCAGCAGCTGGTTGCTTCTCACTTGGAGAAGCTGCTGGGACCAGATGCCGCGATCAACCTTACTGACCCTGACGGAGCTCTGGCTAAGTGGGTGCTCCACTTTGTTGGAAATTATTGCTGATTGGAATTATGGAGGGACTCAGCCAGCTTCTGACAGGGAAACTAAGGGGAGAAGTGACCTAGCTGTTCATTATGCTAAGGCAAGAAAAGAATCATCCTTCAAGTCATGATATTATTACTTGGTCTCCTGACCCAGGCGCCTACTGCTGCAGCTGGAAGCAACAAAGAACAGCAAAGGGAGTTCAGGGGGAAAGACCACCAGTGGGACCCCCGCAGACAGCAGCCTCGTCACTTACGAACTACATTCTCGGCCTGAGCAGGACAAATTCTCTCAAGCTGCCAAAGTAAATATATATATATAGTATTGATTGGGGGGCCAGGAGAGACATGGCCCTTTAGTTTTTCTTGCATCCCTCTGAAGGAACAGACCTGGGGAGAGGGTACTGGGAAGGCTTCTGAACCATCTTGATGTCTCATTCTCAGTATTTCCCTTGCCTATCTACTTTCAGTTAGGATTTTAAGATTGTGGCTAGGGATGTGGTCCAGGAAAAGGTGTCCCTTGGGGCAGGAATGGGGAATGGCATACAGACAGAGCTGGTTCTTGTTCCTCCCACCTTAGCAACAGAAAGGTGGATAGCAAATCTTACCTCCTTCCTTCCCCTAGGTTGCAGAACTTGAGAAGCGTCTGACAGAGCTGGAGGCAACTGTACGCTGTGATCAGGATGCTCAGGTCAGGTGCTCTCCTATTCTTAGTCTGAAACTTAGATCTTTCACCCTGAGCCCTAAGGTCTACAACATTCCACACAAACCTGGGAAGATAGAAAAGGGATTCGGTTACTGGGATCAAGTGTTAGAACCAGGAGAATGGGAGAAGGCAGTAATCATGTGGAGATAGAAGGACAATTGATTTCTTCCCTCCCTTTCCCACCAGAATCCCCTTTCTGCAGGTCTGCAGGGAGCCTGTCTTATGGTAAGTATGACAGGAATGGGAATATTGGATTACAGAGGGGATTTGAAGATTGGGTCTAAGAATTACTTTGGGGTCTGTAGGTATATTTGAACTAACTCTGGTGGAATAGGAGAGGCCTCTTCTTAGTCTTTTTCTTTGGTGACACTTGTCCCATCCTTCCTAGGAAACTGTAGAGCTCTTGCAGGCAAAGGTGAGCGCCTTGGACCTTGCAGTTTTAGACCAAGTAGAGGCTCGGCTACAGGTATTAAGTGGGGGGCAAATTTGATCCTGGGTGGCTTGGGACTTGGAAAGCCCAGATGCCCTCACTATCAACCTCATAATATGCTTTCAGAGTGTCCTGGGGAAAGTGAATGAGATTGCCAAGCATAAAGCCTCTGTGGAGGATGCAGATACACAAAGCAAGGTCAGGAAGGTATCTTCTCTAGCTTCAAACCATTCAACCCTCTTAGCTCTCCAAGTGCTGACACTGAAGCATGAGAACACAGTTCTCAGCTCCCATAAGCTGTGTGTGTGCGGTACTGGGATAGAACCCAGAACCTCTTACATGCTGGATAAGCACTCTATCAATGAACCACATCCCCAGCCCTCCCATGTACTCTAATTACCTGAGGGGAACAGGGCAGTGTTTCCCTCTGCCTGTTGGTCCTTCCTCAGTCTAGTGAAGTAGCAGTCAGAGGGTTCTTCACTGGCTACTTCAGCCATAGTCTGTCATGTCCCTCCAGGTGCACCAGCTATATGAAACCATACAGCGCTGGAGCCCCATCGCTTCCACCCTTCCTGAGCTGGTACAAAGACTTGTTAGCATCAAACAGCTGCATGAGCAAGGTGAGAAGCTAGATTCCAGTCATTCCAGGAGTTGAAAAGTGAATCACTTTGGTTGCCCTCTCTCAACTTGGATTCTAGTTTCAACCATACCTTTCTTCTTTTGTAGCCATGCAGTTTGGTCAACTCTTGACACATTTGGATACTACCCAACAGATGATTGCCAGTTCTCTCAAGGACAATTCCACCCTCTTGACCCAGGTGTGTGCCCCTTTATTGATTTGATATCACTTTCTTCCAGCATGTAGAGACAAGGTTCTCCAGCTTTATCTCATAGGGTTTTGCCTTAACCTATTTTGTAGCACAGTGTTGTGGTAGAGGCTTGGTTTGATCTTCCATACTATTTTTCATTGTGGGACCTTTGACAACTTACTTAACCTATGAAGCCCTGTTGTTCAGGAAATTGTACCTTCCTCAGCAATAAGGATGAATTGTGAGGAGGTAGTTGATCTTTCTTCTTATAAAACCTACTGTTTACTCTGTGTCTCAGTGTGGCTTTACCTTTCCTGGGGTCCTTTTCCAGATGCTCCTGAGCACAGTGCATTGGAAAGAATGTAGGCTTGGGTCCAACCTGGCTCTGCCACTTCCTTTCTGACCCTGGACTGTGAGCATCACCTTCATTTGTTAATTCTTTTAGTAAGCCTAGCACATACTAAGTCCTCAATTTCCATTGGAGACACTATTTTCAGTGTTGGAGGGAGCATTAAAGTTGGGAGATCATCATAGGACCATTAAGATAAATGAAAAGTCATATAAAGTACTTGGCATAGTAGTGTTTCTTTAATTTTCTAAAATTTTGAACTAGAGAAACCCTCGTTTCAACAAAATCTCATTTGGTTCTCATTACCTATAAAAGATAACTGTTTTGAAGTCAGGGTGGGAATTTTTAGGAGTCCTACAGATCTTTGAGCTAGGCCCATGGTACTCTAAGAGTAGTGTTGGAAACTGTTGCAGTAAACATTCTCCTTCCAGTATGGCGGTGCAGACCTGTAATCCCAGCAGCTTGGGAGACTGAGGCACGAGGATCACAAGTTCAAAGCCAGCCTCAGCAACTTAGCGACACCTTGTCTAAATATTTAAAGTGCAAAAAAAGGGCTGAGGATGTCCTTCATGGTTGAGTGGGTTCAATACCTGGTTGAGTGAGATCAATACCCTGGGTTCAATACCTGGTTCCCCATCACACACCAAAAAAATCCACCTTGGGGGGCCATAAGCTATTTTTCCATTTCTTTCTTTTCTTTTTGAGAGAATTTCTTCTGGAGATTCCTCATCCAGGTGAGCACCTGGACCCAACAAGTGTAAAACCTCTCTACCCCACTTTGTAGGTGCAGACAACCATGCGTGAAAACCTGGCCACAGTTGAGGGGAATTTTGCCAGCATTGACGAGCGGATGAAGAAGCTGGGAAAGTGAGCACCTTTGGGAGGTGGAGATCAGGAGTAACCCCTGAACTCTGTTAACAGCTTACATAGGGTTTCCCTTCATAACTCAAAATCCCATCCCATTTTACACTGGGGGCAAGGGTTCTTCTTGCATGTGGGGTTTATACCCCTCCCCTGATGAATACAGAGTGGTAGCTGGAGGATATTAGAAGTGGGCTCCCCTTAGGTCCAGGGGAAGAAGAGATGAGCCCAGCTACATGCCAGCTCCTGGCCAAAACTGCTTTGCCTGGTGTGGGGGAGGTTTGGGCCCTGGCTTCCAACACAGCTTTTGTGGCTGACTATAATATTGTACAACTGTTTCTGACCATTAAATGCTGTTGTACTCTGTGTAGCTTCTACTATGTTTCCTGGGGAAGAGGCAGCACTGAGACACAGACATTCAGGGCACAATAGACAATCTAAGCCACTCTCTACTGAAGACGGATTTCAGTTGTAACCTGTTCTTACCAAAGAACTAAATAAAAAAAAAAAAAATGAGTACAGAGCCAGAGCCAGAGTTTCAAAATATTCTCATCTGTTAAATTAAGAGTGTCTCCCATAGAAAAGCAGTGGAGGCCCCATAGGGCAAGTACAAAACAGAATTAAAACTCCCAAGGGTCTTGTCTTTACAAAAGAAAAGGCAGGAGGCAGCCCCTGGACAGCTGGTCATGCTGGCCGCTCCGGTTGGACCACGTTGCATAATCCTCAGTCGCATCATCACAACGTCTCTGAGCATTTTGATTGGGGGGGGGGAGAAGGGGCAGTGTAGTGTGTATGGGAGGAGAGACCCAGAGGGCTCTCTTTGCCCCTTTACCCCCTTTTTATATCCCAGAGGAAAGTAGAGGGAACCTGGCTACACCTTAAAATGAGGCTATGTGTTTCAAACCTGGGGACAAGGGTAAGAGGGGATCTGTGCTTTGAGCAACCTGAGCCAGAGGCAGAGGGGTGTTGGAGAGATGAGGGGAAGATGCATGATGCTTATTGCTTTGTACCTTTCACTGGGAAGGAGGGCAGCAGCCAACAGTAGCTCACAGGTTTGTAAACTGAGCCTGCTGGCTTTAAGAAGGGAGGCAATGAAGTCGAATTAAATATAAAAGAGTCATTTGTGCAAAAATAACTTAAATAAAAGACCTGGGGAAGGGGGTGTTCCCCTTAGCGCCTGGTGAGGAGAGGGCCATATGCTACCCCCCCAGGCCTTTTCAGTGACATGGCTTTGGGGGGGAGGGGATGAGCTTCCCTACCCCCTGCAATGGCTCAGGATGGGATTATAGGGGAAGGGGTTGCATTTGTGCTCTGAGTGGGGAGTAGTGCCCCCACCCACTGTCCACAGGTGCAAGTGGCTGGCAGGGACTCCCAAGGCTCAGCACTCAGCTCTCCCCAATCAGGGTCAGATCCAGCTCCAGGTATGGCTGCTATGGGGCCAGTTTCCTCCTCTTGTTTTTGGCAGGACGGCCAGGGCGGGCCCGGGGAGGCAGAGGGACAGCCGCCTATACCAGAGGGGAAGTTGAAAGAAGAAGTGATCAATCACCTAGGTATAAGGAAGTCTTTTATTTTCTCCCCATTCCCTCAAGCCTCCTTTCCTCCTGTCTCATCCCTTAGATATTCCTACCCATATCCACACCTACCCAAATGCACACTTACTCGGGTTGTAGGGCTGGGTTCCAAGGTAATATCCTGGCGGGAGCTATTGCTGTTCCGGGTAGGGCTGCAATAAGGGGCACAGATGATCAGGAACAGCTCCCCAAGCACCAGGTGAATTTCAGAAGGTTGGGTGGGAAACTTTCTACATTTGGATAGTAAAGGCATAATATCCTTATTCATATTCAAATAAATGTCTGCCCTTTTTGAAAACCAAGACACTATTTGGACATTTTTGTATTCCCAACAAGGCCAGGCCAATATAGGGGTGGGCCTAACACTCACTTGTATTTTCTCCTCCGGCCACGACGAGACTTTCTGACTATCCCCAGGGGCACCTGAGAAAAGATGGACTGTATGTATGGGAAAAGTGAGAAAAGGGCATGGGGGTCCCAGGCTTTCCTCAGAGACCCTGAGCTGGGACCTCCCTCACTGCACTCACCTTAAGGTCCTCAGAATGGGGCCCAGGAAGGGGTGGATCCTTAGGCTCAGCACCCCCTTCAGCCAGCTCCCCATTATGCTGCCAGTGGTGGGTCCTTCTTGGGGACCGTTCCATTTGTCCATTGAAGCTACCACGTGTCCCCCATTTGAGGGCCAGTCGGCTAGGCTCCCGCCGGCTGCCAGGCTTTCGGCCCCGGCTCGGCCTGGCCTCACCATTAATGCCCCTAAGTCCCCCTCCTCCCCTCCGGCCCCGTTTCCCTGACCCCCTCCCAGTGAGCAGCTCAGGGACTGGGGGGTCAGAAGAACCATGGGGTGGGGCTAAGGCACTGAGGGGAGGCCGGGCAGGCTCTGGTTCAAGGGCTGAGGTGGGACTCTCGGGGGGCAGACAGGGGGCTTCTGGCTGCTCTGGAGGAATCTGCTGGCAAAAATAAGATCTCAGTCTCAAATACAGTCCTTCTTATTTGTAACTCAGCCCTTAATTTCCAGTTTTAGAAAATTTTTCTGACAAATACCATCCCTGCCCTCACCTGGAGACTCTGTAGCAGGCAGGCTAGGGGACTAGAAGCCTCTGAGAGGGGTGGAGGAGCTCCCCCCCCAGGGAGGAGCTGCAGCCCCAACTGGCCAGAGAGAAGAGAACCAGGAGGCTGCAACAGGCTGGGGAGGGTTCCAGGGCTGCTGGTTAGTGAAGACAGGTCACCTGTTGAGAGATCATAGTCAGGGGTCCCTCCCTAGGCAAACCAATTAGGCTAAGCAGATCCTACTATTTTCTTCAGGCTTTACCCAGTGGTCAGAGAAGTTCTTCCCCAATCCATCCAACCTCTGCTCCTAATTTTTATTGCTCTCTTTCACACCAAGAGTCCTCCCCTTCAGACTCACCCAGCAGGCTGGCACTCAGCAGAGGGCTAAGGAGCTGGGGGGGTCTCCCTGAGTTGGAGGGGGCCTTGCCCAGAGAGGAGGCCCCCGGGTCAGTAGTTGCCATGGTGACACTGGAGGTAGGTGGTCCAGGTTGGGGGGCACTCAGGACACAGGGCTAAGAAAGAATGGTTATTGCACTTAACATTTGTAAAGTGTTCACAGACATACTACTTTCTCATACATACAACCTGACTGAAGCTCAAGTGAGGCAAGCTATGCTTAATACATTTAGATTACATTCTTCCAGCCATCCTCTCCCCAACCAGACTAAGCTCCCCCAAAAACATCTGAGGAAGAACTCAGGTATGAAACTGAAAGCCTTTGGTTCCCAGAGCCCATTTGATTCTATTTCTTGTTCTACCCACCCACTCACCCCCTATTCTCACCTGGGGGGGTGTCCCCGAGGGGGGATCCAGGCTGGCAGCCAGCAGCGCGGAATTTAAAGCTATGAGGGTAGGGGGGGCTGAAAGGGGAGGGAAAAGCAGGGGGGGGAGGTCTCCCAAACCTGAAAATGGTTCCCCACTTGGACCCCCAGCTCCCTCTGAAGATCCCTCCCCATCCCCAGCTGTGGGGCCCAGGGCCAGCAGGGGCAGGAAAGAGGCAAGGAGGTTGCTAGGGGGTGCAGAAGGGGGTGGCAAAAGGTCTGAGGGGGGTGGTGGAAGCAAGGAAGCTACCAGAAGGGAAGGCCCTTCAGGCTCGCCTGGGGCTAAAGGGGGGCCAGGTCCACCTGGGGGGGGTAGCAGGGATTCAGGGGGAGGTTGTCCTCCTCCCCCAGCCAGCATGCCAAATAAACTGTGGCTGAGCAATGGAGAAGGTGGAGGTTGCCCCAGATTCAGAGGGAGAGGCAGGGCCCCCAGCATCCCAGGGAAGCCAGCTCCACTCAGCGCCAGGCCCTGCTCAGGACTGGGGAAAGGGAAAGCCTCCCCACCAGACAAGGGAGGCAGAGGGCAAGCTGGGCCTGCCCCCATCCCCAGCCCTTCAGATGGGCTTTGAAGCACAGAGCTAGGGACTATGGGGGCTTTGGAGGCAGCTGGTGGGGCAGGGGCACCTGTAAAAGAATAGAAATTCAGCTTAAGGGAGGCCCTTTTCTCCCAGCAAAGAACCCAACCTCCCTGCCCCAGCCCAGAAAACCATGAAGAGCTTTCTAAAACTTTACTCTAAATGCCCTGGCTGCCTCTATCCTCCAAGGCTGAGGAAAGGTTCCATAACACTCACCTGGCACACTGCTGAGGCTGCCACTGGTGGTCCCAGGCAGGGAGGGTTGGATGGGGTGCCTGGGCTGGGGAGGGCTCCCTGAGGAGAGGGTTGGGGGAGGAGGAAGGTGTGCATCTGACCCCAAAAGGTTAAAGCTTCCATCAGAGTGGGAAGGGCCAGGGGTGGGGAGTCCCAGCAGGGACAGCACAGAAGGGAGAATTGGTTGGGATGGCTCTGGAATAGGAAAGGGCGGGGGAACAGGAGCAGGGGCCCGAGGACGGCTCCTTCTAGGGTTTTGAGGACTACCCCCTTCAAGCAATCGCAATACAGTTGGGGGTCGGCGGGGACGACGCTGAGAGGGACGGGGTGATGAGTGGGAAGCTGAGGGTGCCTGGGCACGGGGCCTTCGGCCCTGTAAAGTGCTGGGAGTGGGTAGTGGGGGATGCTGTGCCTTGGCCGCTGCAGAGAGTAGGCTGCTAGCAAGGAAGGGGGGTGCCCCAGGCCCCTCCACAGTGGGGGCCCCTCCCAGGGGTCCCAGGACCAGGGGCAGGTGCATAGTGGCTGAAGACACTGGTGGCTGAGTAGCAGGGCCAGGGGGGCCAGAGGGGCCAAGGAGATTATTGCTTGGGGGCAGGGGAGGGGGTGTTAAGGCATCACTACAGTGGAAGAGAGGAGGGTCTGAGGGTGGTGAGGAAGAGGCATGAGGGGCTGGAGGAGAGCCCAGGTCAGAGGGCACCAGGCTGGATCGGACAGTGGTTCCCCAGTTGTAAGAGGGGGCATTCAGGCTGATAGCAGGTGGAGGAGGTGGGGCTGGAGAGGGGGCATTGCCCCTTGGGAGAAAACAGGGGCTGCTGCTGCCCCCAGAAGGAACTGGATCAGGAAGCCTTGGTGGTGGGAAGAGTCCCCCAGGGCCTGCTAGAGATGGGAAGGCCTGGGGAACTGAGGGTTGCTCTTGGGGAAGGGAGCCAGGACCCCCATTAAGTGGAGTTATAGAAGGAACTCGACAGGAAGGACGGGTAGAGGGAGGCCCTGGGGACACAGTGTGGAACATCTGGGGGCTTGCTCCCTCTCCTGCAACAAAAGAGAAATGAAAGGTCAGCCTGCAGCTTCCCTTCTAAAAACTTTATTTTCTATTTTTCAGTCCCATCTCCCCCAGGTTCCCAACCTCCCCTGCTCTTTTTCCACTAAGCAGCTCCTTACCTAACTCCATCCTTCTCCGTGTAACCTCTCATTGAGCCCCTCCCACCATGCACCTTCCCCACCCTTAGGTTTTCCTCAGTCTTTGGTAAAGGATCAAAAGACTCACCAGGAGAAGAGTGTGAGCAGGTGGTCTCCATGCTGCGGTACAGAGTTGCCATAGCAACAGCTTTCCGACGGTGGTTGCACAGCTTGGTCATGTCCTCCTCTGATGCTGGCCCCACCCCAGCCCCACCCAGGGTCACCGGGGCCAAAGGGTCAAAGTTGAAAACCTGTAAAGTAGAAGTCAAAGACAGCAACCCTGAGGGGATGGAATATGTGAGGAGAGCTACCAAGGTCAGTTATTTGCATTAAGTCTTTTGGCTTATCCCTATACTCTATTCAACCCCTCACAACTCTCACCTTAGGGACATTGAGTGGACACTCCAGACCGCACTTACAGGTCCCATCACTGAGGAGGTAGCTCCGGGTTTGCTCCAAGGAAGACAGCTCTGTGCCACTTGGGCTGGGAGAGGACAGTATCAGAGAATATCAAGTTAGCTGACAATGTCTCAGAAGATAATTCCCTAAAGGACAGTTCTCAAGTTAAAAAAAAAGACTTTCCCAGGAAAGGCAGAAAATAAGTGATACGAGAAGAAAAAAAGGGAGAATGATTCAAAAGCTAAGAAATAACAGAATAAAACAGAAAATAACAAAATAACAGAAATAACAGAATAAAAATGCTGAAGAGCTTTGAGAAGAGGGGTGGGAGAAAGAAAACCCAGGCAACTAGGCAGATAGGTCTTGGAGAACTTTGAAGATCCACACCTGATATAGAGCACAGCACCCTCTCGTACACAGCGCTGCCAGCCGATGGGGACAGATGTGGCCACAGGGCCCCCAGCTCTGTCTGCTCCACTGCTCTCATTGCCCCCATTCATTGTGTGTAATCAGCTCCCGCGTGCCTGATAACACAGACATCCATGTGGGCATTAGGAGGATTAAACTGGGCTAGGCACCTGAGGGAGGACTCCCATAAGGCAAAGGTTGTGAGCAGACCCAAGGAAATTCAAGGGAAGTCTCAATGGCAAGGGGAGTCCCTCAGAAAGCTGGAAGGGAGAATGAGCAAGAGTTCTCTTCCATAACACTCTACCTGAACATCTCTGCAAACATTGTGGGGTCCAGTCTAAAGCCGGGGCTGCCAGCTTAGCCCACACCTGCAAACATAAGGAATGAGAAAGGACTGTCAGAAATCTGCCCAACTTGAGAGCACCACAGCCCAAGACACTCTCAAGGAAAGATCCTTAATAATGTGAGTAAATGCCTATAAAGATCTCAGGGATCTGCTGGCCAAATCCACAACCATCCTTTTCAAGCCTAGTCCCTACAAGGCAGAGGATCAGTGCCTCAACTCCAACGGACCAAAAAATCATAGCCTCATTTCTAGAAATATGAAGGGCCAGGCCCCTTTATCCCATTAGGGACACTTTTGTGTGTAGAGTGTGGGCAAATTCCTATAATGACAGGCCACTAGGAAGTTTCCCAGTTTCTGGCCCCTGCTGTTCCCTCCCCAGGAAGATCATATAAAATGCAGACTGTAACGCCACAGGTTAACTAGACAATTGCCCAATTGCCAGCTGGGGTGGTACCAGCAAAGATCCCCCATACTAGATCCATCAGACAATCACTGATCTAGTTCATTTGGGGTTTGAGAGAGGTTAGAATCACAACTCTGTCTTCTCCCAGATCTTAAGAGGCTCCTGAATCTCCCTCAAGCTTAAGGCATGAGGGTCCAGAACCTCCTGTCCCGCTGGCCTCCAATTAGCTCCAAGTGACGTTCTCCTCTGATCTGTGGGGATGCCCCTCAAACCTACAAGTATTCTCCCCAACCTCTCCATCGCTACCACCCCACACTGACGGCTTCCAAACTTTCCCTCTCGTAACAAGGCGCCCTGTCACCCAGACTGCTTCCTTCAGCTTAGGGAGGAGGGGAAGGCGCTCTCGAAGTAGGAAGGAACTTGGGGAGAGGGCGGGCGGAGGGTGGGCGAAGCGCTGAGGGAGGTAGGTGAGGAAGGCAGAAGTCAGGCTGTGAGAGAGAGAAACAGTGAGGGCAGGTGAGGGCGGGG